TTCTTTGGACATGACCTTGTACCTCCCTCAGCATGAAGCAGACCCAAAGGGATCTGGGATGAGGCCTTTCTTAGCATTGATGCACACTCTTTGAACTAACCTTTTCTTTCATGTTGTACACTGTCACCGTTGAACATCCTTCAGAGTTTCTCAGGGATAGATTATTTGATCTGAGCATGCCTAAAAATGCTGGGTACATATTTGCCCAAGCGCGTGTCTCTAAGCTTCCGGATTTTGCTCTTGATACAGCTATCGGGACACCGTGTGTGGATTCCAAAACGTCTCTCTCCTTTGCTGTTGAGCAAACACAGGCTAGTTACATCTGCGAATGAATCGTGTCTGTTTCGATTGAAAACGTGCCAGCTGTGTTTACATCATTCGTAGCAAACTTCCCAATTAAACTGTTGATACTATAAATATACTAGACAACTGTTTTAGAAATGCAGCTCGCATCAGCATCTTTCTCGAGGCTCTTTGCGCTGGCTTTGAGAACCATCAAAATGATGGCAGTTATCACAGAGGTGAGCATTTGAAACCCATTTCAGGGTATATGATACTATTGTTTCATTAAGGTAAAGATGTATACTAAAACTCCTTGTTGGTTGGCTGTATCTCCATCAGATCCTATTTTAAAGGATGAGTTTTATACTGACTTCTTAGAGAATATTTCATAGATGACATTTGCTTCCTTGATTTTTGCAAGAAATCCTTTCTCCGGCTTCTCTATCCATAAATATACAGTCTTCTAAGTTCTTGTGCCTGAAATAAATATGATCTCATCTGTGTGGATTGGATGTTCTAAGTAGGGTATCAAAAATGACTGTTCTGCAGGGAGTGCAAAGTTGGGGAATTCTTTCCAATGCAATTGTGTTCACCTTCGAAAGGCGAGTCCTTTGTTTACTCAAATCTGATTTTTTTTTTTTTTCCTCTTTTGAATGGTTTTTCTTCTCCACCCACACCCAAGGAACTGAAACACTCCATAGAAAAGTATATTCTGAACCAAAAAGAGTAATTGATGGTCTATAAATTTCATGGCAAATTGCCTGCAGATTTCTTGGTAATTCTTGGTTGTGTTGTTGTTAAGTGTCGTTGAGTCAGTTTCGACTCATAGTGATCCTGTATAGGGTTTCTGAAGAGCGGTTGGTGGGTCTGAACTGCTGACCTTGTGATGAGACTCAAGTACCTCACCAGGATTAGAAATAGAGACATTCTCCTCTTATAGTTGAGTCTTCTCCTTTGGCCTTCTTCCTAGACTTCTGCTTCTCTCTGAAGCCCTTGGCTGATCAATAGAAAGAACACTAACCTGATCCCCTGACCAAGTAATCCCCTGACCAGTCCTCCCTGAAGGACACATTTCTATTGCACAAGATGACATAGCTTTGGATTTGTTTATTGTAAAGTCATAAATGCTTTTGTTACAAGATTCTGAGCTCTTTATGATCAGTTGGGGGAGTGTGGTGGTTCCATTCGATAAGCACTGGACTGCAAACCACATGTCTGTGGTTCAAACCCACCAGCCATTCTGTTGGAGAAAAATGAGTCTTTCTGCTCCCATTAAGATTTAAAAGTCTAGGAAACCCTATACAGGGTCACTTTGAGTGGGAACCAACCCAGTGGCACTTAACAACAACAACATAATCAATAGGAGTGTGTGTGTGTGTGTTTGTCTTTACAAGAAAGATATAACTTTGGATGTTTCAGAGGAAGCCCTCTGGATATTCCCAATCCATTCCATTTTGAATGTGATGGTGGACTATTGACCCTTATACCATGGGATGTCCAATAGTCTGATTGAAGTGATTTGATCAGACCTCCTTCTCTGGGTTCTGATGTTGAAAACCTTCCTATCCTGCTTCTAACCACTCTTCTCACCACTGCATAGGCACATGCTTGATGCTCAACCAGGGGAAAAAAAAGAAAACACAGAATTTTTTAGAGTCCTAACCAATACAGTTAAAATCCAGGGATGAAAGCTTAGTGGAATGATGTAAAAGTTCAAGGTAAAAAAAAAAAAAAAGAGATACATCTTTTTAAAATATTGCTCCATTTTGTTTTGTTTTGGTGAAAAGCAATGCACTTCACAAAAAGATCTTTCGTTTTTCATTTTTTGAAAAAAATGTACTTTATTTCAGAAGGGCTTGTGCTCCCTTTATTGGAGCTCATTTTCTGTCTCCTTGTGTGCCATGCTGTTTACTTTCTGCCTCTCCTCCAGACTGCACCTATATAGAGCCATAGACAACAAATCCCTAGTCTAGATTCGTGTTAGTTCTCTAAAGCATCTATAACAGAAACGCCATCAAAGAGATGACTTGAGCAAACAGAAATATATATTCTCTTATAGTTTAGGAGGCTAGAAGTCCAAATTTAGAGCAGCGGCTCTTAGGGAAGATTCCTTCTCTCATAGTTCTACAAGGTTTTCAGCTCAGCAACCCTGGGTGTAAAGAATGTGCTTTTGCTCCTGGATCCTGGCTCTTGGTTCTTGGTGGTTGTAGGTCCTTCAGATCTCTGCTCACTTGGCCAATCTCTTTTCTATCTCCAAACACATGACTCAATATGCAACCTAGTCTTGTAGAGAGTATTCTGTTTTATTAGCATAAATGCCAGTAATCTTGCCTCATTCACACCCTAGACGTGAAGAACATACAACACACATGGGGCCATTATGTCAGCTCCCACAACGGAGGGTAATTACATACTACCAAGAATCATGGCCTAGCCAAGTTGATGCATATTTGGGGAGACACACAATCCAATCCATCCAGGATCCAAGAAATCTAGAAACGTCCTCAGGGCGATGGACAGGATTGTGGATTATGCGATGTTTTTGATTTCAGAATCCTTACTCCCTTGTATTACTTGTCAAGAATTTCACTGGGACTGTGATATTGAACATTATAAATGCCGAGTGCCAGTTGCATGTGGACTGTGGATAAACAAGGATCTTGAAAAGAAAAATTGTAAGCCGACCCCCCAATATTGCATGGGGCATACGTTGTTATTGTTGTTGTTTTTAGGTGCCATTGAGTCATTACCGACTCATAGAGACCCTGTGCACAACACTGCCCAGTTCTACGCCATCCTCACAATTGTTATGTTTGAGACCATTGTTGCAGCCACTGCATCAGTATGTCTCATTGGGGTCTTCCATTGTTTCAACGATTGTATCTTCCAACCTGAAGTTGTCATCTTTCAGGCACTATATTAGACAATCTTTTGCTGTTATTCACTGGTCTTCCGGATCAGCTCTTAGTCTAATACGTCTTGATTGCCTGTTTGTTCAAGTAGGTACAATTCTTCCGTGTCTTCATTACTGGCTGGTGCATGCATTTGAATAACAGTTGTATTAACTAGTCTTCCTTGTAGCTGTTGTTAAGTGTTTTCAAGTCAGTTCCAACTCTAGCGACACTGTGTACAGTTTCTGAGGCTTCCTCATAGTAGGTGCATAGATATTACCCTCTCACAGACAGCATTGTGCTTCAAGAAAAGTCTTGAAATGTTCTTTCTGACGATGAATGTAATGCTTTTCCTCTTCAATTTGTCATTCCCAGCACAGTAAACCATATGATTGTCTGACTCAGAATGGCCAATACCTGCCCATTTCAGTTCACTAATGCTAAGACATCAATCAATCTTGATTTGTTCCATTTTATGTTTGATGACTTCCAATTTTCTTGAGATTAATACTTTGGACATTCCAAATTCCCAGTACAACAGATGACTGCAACAGTTTTTACTCATTTTGAGTGATGCATCTTAGGGCAAATGAAGATGCCACAATCTTTGCTCCATCCATATCTTTAAGGTCAACTCTACTTTGCGGAGGCAGCTATTTCTCAGTTGTATCTCAAGTGCCTTCCAACCTGAGGAACTCATCTTCCAGCATTGTATCAGACAGTGTTTCACTGCTATCTGTAAGGTTTTCAGGGTTTAACCCCAAAGAAGTGGACTGCCAGTTCCTTCTTCCTAGTCTGTCTTCATCTGGAAGTTCCACTGAAACCTGTCCACCATGGGTGACCCTGCTGTTAAGAAACACTGGTCTCACAGATTCTAGCGTCACACCAACATGCAAGCCACCATGGTACAACAAATTGACAGACGTGTGGGGAGCATACTTAGCCTTAAAAGAAAAATCTCAAAATTAAATTTAGCTGGGCATCCTGTATTTTATCTGGTGACTTTATCAGTTACCTGACTGGAGCTTTTGACAACTCCTCTAGTATACTTGTCATCTGAAACTTTGTCTCTAGACTTGAAGATGTTGGGAGCTGTTCCCATCTCGGATAGAACTTACCTGTGCTCATCACGTTTATCTCTGTGTTGAATAATATGGATAATCTTCTTGAAGAAGTACGTGTTAGTCCAGGGCTTCTGTAGTACGGATTTGGCTTTTGTCTTTTTTTTACTTTCCTTTTCTCATATGTTCTGGCTGATCCTAGTTTTATGGAGGTTAAAGGTCAAAGCCCCTCAATATCCTATTTCAGTTAGACATTTATCAAAATCCTACTTCATCAGGGTACGTCTCCCTGTGGCTACTGGGAACATCTAATAGCCCCAGAGTATATAGTAGCCATATTTAAAAATATTTGCTCAGTGCCTGGAAAAGCAATTATTCACCCATGAAGAAAGGAAAATAGAATTACACATTGATTGCATAGTTCTGTACTAGTCTACTACAAGTCTCACCTGAGGGATGGATGCTCTAATTTAGCCTATCCATTTGGTCAAGCCCATCACTTACCAGAGCAATGTAAAGTGCAGGTCCATGATGTTGTTGTTACATGCTGTCAAGTCAGTTCCCAGACATAGCGACCCTGTATAGTATTTCCAAGGAGCGAATGGTGGATTTCAACTGGCAACCTTATGAGTTTTCCGTTCAACACTTTAAAAAATGGAAAAGACCAAACAAAACACAGTTTTCACTTTGGGAATAATTACCAATGTACATATAGATGCACATTGCATCGCATGTTTGCTTATAAAATATTTCTGTTTCTTTGCAGCAATTTGGTAAAATCTTAGATGTTGAAATTATTTTTAATGAGCGCGGCTCCAAGGTAAGCAACTTAATTCTCTTTGGAATTGCTTAGCTGATTTTGAAATGTGTGCATGAAGAAGGGGGAAACAACTGCACTGGTTTAATCGGTTCACTGTCAAAACAGACTCCATTGGGAATTCCCGTAGGGCTCTCCTCCTGTTTCCAACATGGTGGGAAGTGTATTGGACTTGCTTTAAATTGTCTGCAGGGATCATTTAAAGTTGCACTATATACGTATCTATCAAGTTTCCAGAGGAAAATGATCCGTGCTTGAAACAACAACAAAAATTAATGATGTTGCTGCATTTTGTTTTTCAGTGATAATTATGTTCTTTGTATTAAAAAGTGAATTGATAGTCTCAAGAGTAGGTCAATATGTGATTATTCTGTATTAATAAAGTGCAGTTATTTTCCTGGGTTCCAAGGGGAGAGAAAAAAAAAATCTCATATACACCAACCTTTTGAATATCATTTTATTCAGTAGTTTATTAACCAATGCATTTGTTGCAATTTGCCTGGATTTGTAGCTGGTTTTGGTTTCTTTTTCCTAGAAAACCAGTTTCCAAGTAGACTTTCTTAGAGCCCACAGTGTTTGTAAAACTTGAGAACTCTACAGGCAGGTCTAAGACAGTCAACAGAAATATGTTGAGATGGAAGAAATTTTTTAAACATCAGACACTTCTAAACCCAACCACTTATAAGCTGTTAAGTCTGTACCAACTCGTAAAGACCTGACAGGACTGAGTAGAAAGAACTCATGAGGATTCTGAGACTCATCTTTACTGAAGCAAACTGCCACATCTTTCTGGTACAGAGCAGCTGTGGGTTCAAACTGCTGACCTATCAGTAAGCAGTCCACTGATTCACCCACTGTACCACGAGGACCCCTTAACTCTTCCCAACTACCTTCTTTACAAGGTGGTGCCAAGAAGTTGGTGGGAAAATGGAATTGAAAGAGAATGGCATTTTCCCATGAACTTTTTGAAATCTCCTCATACTACCTTTTGTGTTTGCGGGCTTCTCAAGATCAGTATCATCAAGAACATCTAGGAGTTTGTTAGAAAGGAGAATTCTCAGGCCCCCACCAAGAGGTACTGCATATGGTTCAGACATTCTGAAAGGGGAGACCAGCAATCTGTTTTAACAAACCATCCAGACCAGAGTTCCTGGGTAACATAAGTGGTTAAGTGTTTGAGGAGTAGACCAAAGGTTGGCAGTTCAGACCCACCCAGAGAAGAGCCACAGAAGACTGACCTGACACTCAGCTTCTGCAAATTTACAACCTTGAAACCCCTACTGATCAGCATTACTATGTATGTAGCACATGAGGTCGCCACCATTCAGAAGCGTCTAAAGGGCAGCAGAATGCTAAACTTTTCAAACTCGTTCACTCAACACCAATTAGCAATATTTTTTTTCCAGGATTGTTCTTAAAATAATGACTATCTTGGCTTCTTGTTTTACATGAATGGGAAGCCTTCTATTTCTTGCCTGCAAAATACACCTTTGCTAACTTACTGCTTATTCCTTATCTGTGGCTAAAATAGCAGAAATCCAACAAGTCGACGGCTTTAAGAAACAACCATTGATTTCTTCAGTTCTGGAGGCTGGGATTCTAAATTCATAGTCCTGGTTGTAGAGGAAGAGCTGCACTCTCTGTAAACTCTGGAGAAGGTTTTGGTCTCAAACTGTTTCCTGGTTCTTTGGGGATTTCCATGTGGCTTGGCGTCTGCCTTTCTCTATCTCTAATTTGTTTAATCTCCTTTATTACAACAGATGGGCTCAAGACCCACCTACACCAATCTTGCCTCAATGATGTAACAAAGACCATCTTTTCCCAAATGGGATTATAATTACAGGGCTGGTGGTTACTGGTGGTTAGTTTTTACAGCACACATTTTTTTTGGGGGGGGGCGAGGGGCGGGGGGCTAGTACAATCCACAGCAGTGGTTTTGCTTGTGTTTGCTTGCTTTTTCTCATTTCTAGTTCTTTTGCTTCTGCTTAAATGTCTCTTTTCTACCAAAAGTCATAGAAAACTCAAGAGACCAAACTCTGCTTGAAGGACAACCAGGGTCTCAGGCATATCGTTAGATGCTGGGTGATGACAGGGATTAATCCTGAAAAAAAATGATATGGATGTTAAACTAGACAGTGTCTCAAAATAAGCACGCACAGGCACACTTTGGTTAAGTTTTACTGAGTTGGGAGGTTTAAAAGAACTCCTAGGATCAAAGGATTCATCTTAAAAAAATAAAAAACAAACAATTAGCTCAACACGTTGTTATGAAATCTAAAGGGCTTTTACACGAGTCAGTTAAGCAGATAACAAATAAAATCTTAACCACCAGTCAAAAACCTGTTTCTTTGAAAAGCAGGTATGAAGAAGAAGAAGAAAAACACAAAAACTTAAAAGAATAAGTCTCTTCTCATATGTGTGCATTTTCTGCATGGCCAAGAGATGGCGATGGCTCTAATTTCACCAGTTGGTTATAAAAAAGGAAAAATAAAATGTATCTTGTATTGTCAGTTTGTAAGAATTAATGTGCTTAAAGGATTGGTTTGTTTTGAAATAATTTTTAAAAATAATAACAGAGATGGATATGAATACAGCATTGAGTTCCTTCTGACTCATCATGGCATTGTAGATGCACAATGGGACTGCACTCCATAGACTTTGCATGGTTGTAATCTATGAGAAGCACATTGCCAGATCGGTTTGCCAAGACTCCTGGGTCAGTTCAAATTGCTAACCTTTCAAGGAATCGTCTAGTGCCTAACCTTTGCCCTATCCAGGGACCCAGACTTCATCTCTTATACTTCCAACATAGTATCAGAAGGGACCAGTCCCTGGCGAAGGACGTCATGCTTTGTAAAGTGGAGGCTTGGCAAAAAAGAGGAAGACCCCCAATGAAATGGACTGGCACAATGGTGGCAGCAATGGACTCAAGTGTCACAACAATTGTGAAATTGGTACAAGATTGGGCCGTATTTTGTTCTGTCATGCGTAGGGTCACTATGAGTTGGTACCAAGTTTATGGCACCTAACAACAACAAGGGACCCAGATGTTGACCTTCTCAAACCCACGACCATTGAGTTGGTTCTGACTCATAATGATCCGATAGAGGGTTTCTGAGACTGTAAATCTTTATAGGAACAGACAGCCTCATCGTTCTCCTGACATACTGGTGCTAATAACCAGAAAATGAATGCTGTCAATTAAAAAATAAGAAGAAGAAAGAAAGAAAGCAGTTCAGCAAAGTTTGGCTCTGTATGTATCAAATCCCCCTTTTTTCAGAGAGTCAGAAACTCCCTGCAGGAATCCTGGGACTGTGAAATTGGGTGTTGAGAATTCAACAGATACCAGGAGATATTGGTTAGCTCCATTACTCACTTTACAAGGGCAATTTGGGCTAAGTGTGTAGCCAGGATGATTATTAAACAAAGCTAGTTCTATGTAGGGTGTCAGTTCTCTTGGGTATTGTCATCAGCCCTCCTCATCGAGCCCACAGATGAATGTGTCATTCCTTGGACAGGTTACAGTGTCTTTCTTCCTAAGTCCGTAGCACAGTATTAAATGAATAGGCCCATTCTGATCACAACTTTAGGGGAAGACAGTTCTTCTACTCTCTCTTCCAAGGTCACCGTGATGTCATTTGCCAGTTGAGTAAAAACAAAAAGCAATCCAAGACATTCTCACATTCTGCTACTTCAGGCAGCTTGTCATTCTTTCGGACTTCAGTTATGATTTAGACTCACATTCTTGGAACATACCAGCAGTTTGACCTCTAGGCTTGGGGAGTGCAGAGGAAGGGGATTTCTTTCTGCTTCTTGTATAAAAATCATCACATGCAAATTTCTGTACTTGAAAAAGGGGGAAAAAAATATGCCTGGTCACATCCTTTTCATTCCGGCCTGATTTATTCTTGGCAAAAATTGTAGAAGATGACCCAAAACACTGGCCGGTTTCTTCTAACTTAGCATCTGTCCAGAGCACCACTATTTTTGAAGCTTTCCTTTGTTTTGTGTGTTTAATTTACATTTTGTTTTGTAACTTTTGCCAGTTGGAGAAAGCTATTCAGTTCCTTTGGAGAGCTGTTTGGGGACATTAGAAGAATATCACTTGCTCTTTTGAAAATACAATGGTAGAGCTATTTTTAGGTTGTCTTCTGTCTTTCTATGATTAGGCTGTCTCTGAGGGCTTCAGAAACAAGACTATCTAAATTTGCCACATACAGAGCCAAACTTTGTTAAGCTGATCTTTCTTTGCCCTCTTTTGGACTTAGAAAACATCAAAAATAGCCTTTGTCCATGGGTATGATCTCCCTGAATGAACTGGCATTGCAGGTGTGGCAGCTGGTGGCTAGAGTATATCTGGGTGGCATCCAGTTGATAGGATAGTGGCTCATACCAAGATATTTTCCATACATGACGTTAGCCTGTCTAGCAAGGGTGGGGAACCATTTTTGTGCCAAAATTTATAACATCATTCACGGGCCATACAAAATTATCAGCTTAAAAATTAGCCTGCTGTACTTGGTCAAACAATTAATTAAACTCGTCTCCAATATAGTAGCTGACCTTGCCTTGGAAACCCTGTATAGAGTCGCTATGAGTTGGAACAGACTCCACGGCATATAACAACAACAGTGTGATGGCTGAAGTCCTGGTATGGCACTGTGGATTAACGCACTGGACTGCAATGCCAGTTTGAGCCGCAAGGTCAGTGGTTCAAGTTTACTAGCCGCTCATTGGAAACCCTATATAGGGTCGCTGTGGATCAGAACCAATTTGACAGCGCTTCACAACAACAACAAGGTGATGGCTGGAACTGCATTTGCCTTGGCAGGGTCAGACCAAAGATTTCGCAGGCCTTACCCAACTCACGGGCCAGACATTCCCCAGTTCTGCTTTATAGGCGAGGACCTTCTTTAAAAGGATATTTCTCTTTTCATAGTTGAGAACTCCGAAGCATTGTTATAACGTCATTGCCATCAGTGGCTGCTGGAGACAAAGAGGAAGGTCCTTTAAGAGCTAGGAACTCACCTTTTACCCACCTGGTATGGGAACAGTTTGCTGATTCCTGTAGCTCAGCTAAATGAGTATGACTGTGTAGCCATGCATGCTTACATGTATGTGCTCTACATACACACATGAATGAGGAAGACTGAAGAAATATCGATACATTTGAATTACGGTGTTGATGAAGAATATTACAAGTACCATGAGCTTCCGGAAGAATGAACAAATCTGTCTTGGATGAAGTGCAGTCAGAAAGCTGTTTAGAAACATGGATTATGAGGCTTCTTCTCATGTCCTTTCTGGGACATGTCATCAGGAGGGACCAATCCCTGGTAAAGGACATCATGCCTGGTAAAGTCGAGGGTCAGCGAAAAAGAGGCAGACCCTCAACAAGATGGACAAACACAGTGGCTGCAACAGTGGGCTCAAACACAGCAAAAATTGTGAGGCTGATGCAGGGCTCAGCTGGTGTCAGTGAGTCTGAGCTAACTCACCAGCATCTAACAACAAACAGTGATATGAAAGAGAAATTAGAACACATTTGGTGGACTACACCAGCATGTTTGTAAAGCACACAAATTTCTGGGCTCCACCCTAGGATTCTGATTCAGCACATCTGGAACAGAGCCAGGAATCTAAATGTTTAATATGCTGCACAGTTCCTTCTTAGTGCGAGTAAGTTGAAAACTGGTTAATAGCTGATACCATCAAAAAGAACAAAACTCCTTCATTCTGTTGTTTGCCCATTGAAGAGCTTTTCTTTCAAAACCACCCAGGAAGTAAGGCTTTTGAGGACCTCAAACGGGAATCTCCTCGTGGTACGGAGGGTTAGCATGCTTGGCTGCTAGCCATCAGTCTGGGAGTTTGAGTTTATCCACAGATGCCTTAAAGAAATGTCTGGTGGTCTTACAAGAAATTAGCTTTGTAAACCTGTGGAGCACAGTTCTTCTCACGTGGTCCCCTTGAGTCAGAATCTATTCAGAGACACCTGGTTTGGTTTTAACGTTGTCCGATGGTGATGTTCAAGACTAAATACCCTCGCAATGGGGTTGTTGTTATATACTGTGAGTTGATTGCAACTCAGAGCGACCCTGTATAGGGTTTCTGAGATGTGATTGGTGGGTTTGAACCACAGACCTTTTGCAATGAGATATGATACCCTAATGTTAATTAAATCATTCAAGCTTCATTCTCATCTCAGATGTTTACTACTGGACACATTGTCAAAGGTGATTCAGCTTAACCCTTCAAAGTAAAGGGACTTAATTGTTCTCTATTGTTGTTGTTAAGTGCCTTGGAGGCGGTTCCATATTATAGTGACCCCGTATAGGGTTTCCAAAGAGCAGATGGTGAGCTTGAACTGCTGAGCTTACAGTTCAAACTGGCCTTGCAGTCCAGCTCATTCATCTGCAGTGCTGCACCAGGACTCCAGGAAGTTAGGTGGTGGTGTTGTTGTTGTGAAGTGCTGTCTAATCGGTTCTGACCCATAACGACCCTGTATAGGGTTTCCGAGGAGCAGCTGGTGAGCTTTAACTGCCGACCTTGCAGTAGGTGTTGTTAGGTGCCATCAGTTCAGTTCTGACCCTTAGTGACCCAATAAAAAGCAAAACAAAGCTTTGCCCAGTTCTGCACCTTCCTCACAACTGCTGCTGTGTTGAAGCTCATGGCTGCAACCACCCCGTCTGTCAGTCCTTCTCATCGAGGGTCTTCCTCTTTTGCACTGACCCTCCATTTCACCAAGCACAATGTCCTTCTCCAGGGACTGAATTCTATACAGAATCCTGCCAAAAGATTCCTGTTTGAGTTCGCCCTCCACAGCGTCCTCAGTGGATGCGTCCAGGTTCAATACTATACTATTCAGTCGTTACCAGAGCACTGGACACCGTCTCCCACAACGTTATTCATTTTGAAAGTCAGGAAGCTTCCAACCTAAGGAGAGGTGGGAAATTACACCCTTAACTGCCATTGTGGGTTATTTAGAATTACTGGCAGTTTTACTAGTAAAACTAGTATACTAAGTCCTCAACTAAACCTCACATGAAGCCAGTGTTTACTTTAATGTAAGATTCACCCAGATGGAAATAGGGACCCCCAACATTGCCTTACTTTCTCTCTCTTATACTGTGAAAATCAGAAGAAACTGGGCAGATTTACTGGATTTGTTTCAAAAGGTTGGTGTATATTTCTGAACGAGATGTACGAATATTTTTAGAGGTGTTAAAAAATAATGTATCATATTTTCTGTACTCTTCTTAGAAACAATGTCAGTGAAGAAAAAAGATGGATTATGAAGTTTAGTGGGTTTATTTTATTTTATTTTATTTTTTGAGGTTGAAATATTGAAAGCAAAATGATCCAATGGCAAAACGAAGGGGATATTTGTTATCTATTAGTAAAAGAAGACAGTGTTTCAAATGTGATTGTCAATAGCATTTTATAAATGCAGCTACGTTGTTTTGCTACCTGTTGTTATAACCATGGAATGCCAACCTAATGTCTTAGATAGCTACAATTTGTATACACAGTTCCCTTTTTAGTGAATAAGATTGCACCAAACATTTACCAATTTAGAGGCATGGATCTTATTGGGGGTTGGGGGAGAATAATTCATACAGAAAAGTTATTTGAACTGTTTGCATTCTTAATCAATTGGAGTTTATTTCTCTTCATTTCATATGATTCTTCTTTCGTTTGTTTATTAGATCAAAGAGTTTAAGATGTATTATAAGAACAAAAAAAGGTCTTTCCTTTTTTTTTTTTTTTTTCCTTAAGGCTTTTAATTTTTATTTTTGAGAAGTAAAGACTGTAGAATTGAGCAATCAGAATAATGCTAAAATTGCATGAAGAAGAAGTGTTTTTACCACAACACAGCATGTCTCTGTAGAAATTTTAGAGAATTTTGGCATTCATTGTTGAATTCTGTGCACATGTTTATTTCAGTTTTCCTTTATTTTTAATTTGCATGTCAAGACAGTGGTTCCCTCCCCCCCTACCTCTTGTTATTTCATTAGATTCTTTGTGAAGACATTGTAAATTTATTTTGATCTCATTTTCTTTTCATTAGATTTATTTCCTTCTGTAGTGACATTTAGAAAGGTACTAGTTTCCTTCTTTGAAATCTTCAGGGGTTACAGAGAACTGGGGATAGGTGAGAAAAGACAAAAGGAAAAACAAAAAAAACTTTGTTCACATTTATTGTTTACTTATTGCACATTTTAGGACTCTTATAATTTCTCTAATTTGCATGTTACAGAACTGAAACCAGGACAAGAAGTAGAAATTAAAGCGAGAGAACGTTACAAAAGTGGTCGTGGATTGAAATATTAATCTGCATGTTGTCTCCTTTTCCCTCCTGCATGCAGGGATTTGGTTTCGTAACTTTCGAAAATAGTGCCGATGCGGACAGGGCGAGGGAGAGATTACACGGCACCGTGGTTGAGGGCCGTAAAATCGAGGTGCATGTTCAAAATATTTTCCTTTTCATCTTTTTGATAAATGTCTGCTTCATGCTCATTCTCTGTTTCAGATGTATCACCGGTGTTCTGTATGTGACCCTATTCCCTTCTCATTGTTTATATATATCTACTTATATATAAAAAGGAGAACTGGCCTTACGTTGTTGTTGTTTTTAAATTTACTTTCTGTTACTCTTACGACTGCCGAAAGGTGGATGGCAAAAGTGAGACCAAAAAAAAAAAAAAAAAGGTTCATCAAAAAGTTGTTTTTGTTTTTTTATTTTTCATGTTTCGTAATCAAAGGGTGCAGTAGGATCCAAACAGCAAAGTCAGAGTTGCCAAAACAAAACAGTTCAGAGCAGTTTTTAGTTTGTTTTTTCTGGTTTTTGATGTTGGTTTCTTTTTCCTTTTTTTTTTTTCTTTTTCTTTTTTCTTTTCAAGGCAGGGTTGACGAGGGATCCATAGTGGATTTGTGCAAATTAAAACAAATTACGCAACAAATAGCTTAAGAAGGAATTTAAAAAAAAAAAAAAAAAAAAGAGAGAGGTCTTTGCTATTAAACCTCACATTATTGTAATTATTATTTTTTTATTAAAAAGCCAGTTTGTGTCAGTTTATTCTTTTGGATACTCAATTGAATCACCAAACTGGATTTTCTGTTTGCTATCTGGCCCCTTATCACCAAAAATCAGTAAATACCAAAATGCCAAGATTTACAATGGACCGACCCTACTACGAGGTCTCCCTCAACCCTGCCACAGGGTCGTATTTGTTAAAACTTTAAAAGAAAGAAAGCAAGAAAAAATACCAATTAAAAATGCTCTTTTTAGTCTTTGGAGTAAGATGTTGCATATTTTGCCTTTCATTTTCCCCTTCCTGCAATAACGCTTAGGCCCCTCACCAAACTCTCAGTATCCATGGTAACTGTATACAAACCCATGCTGGCGATGTTGGTGAATGGTAAGTGGCGACAAGTCCATCTGCCGTTTCACGTATTTACTGCTGATATATCTCTATACATATATCTCTCTTTCTATATATATATATATAGCTACCACGTGAATTTTTTTGACTTGTATTACGTTTTTGTTTTTGTTTTTTTTGTTTTTTGTTTTTTTTTTGATGCTCTATTTTTTTGGATATTGGTCCGCCTGTAATTTAGTGTACGTTCTAAGCTAGCCTGGGAGGCATTGATTGGATTGGTATTGGATCCGTACACATCTTACTCAGATTGTTAACTCCATATTGTGTTAAACAATGCACCCTCTCTTTGATCCGTTCCTTAGCTGTGACTTTAAAGCTTGAATGATTTTGTTAATTCTTGCGATGTTAAAGGCTCCTGTTGAAAGTGATGAATGCTAGATGTTGCTACCTGATGGTCCCCACCCTCCCTTCCTCCAGTGTTGCACATGGCTAAAACTCTGTTTGTCCACTTTTTATTTAATTTTTTGACTTTTACGTTCCCTTGTACCTTGTCTCTGCCCTCTTCTCCACTGCATGTCCTTTCATATGAACTTTATTTTCTGTTGAAAAAATAAATTTTTTAAAAATTATTTTTGTTTCTGTGTTACCATGGAGAACATGCATGCATTTTAAATCTTCAACTGTGCTGTACTTTTTAATTTGCTTTTCCTGTCTCTTTATTCAACGTTTAAATGATATGACATTGCTCTATTGAAATGATTTATAAGTTTAAATGGTTATGATGTACATTTAATTATAAAGATGTATGTTTTTTGTTATGCACCTATTGCCTTTTATAAATTAAAATGCATTTTAGTTGTTTTGTTTTTGTTTTTGTTTTTTTGTTTAATAAGTAATCACAGTTTTAATGCATGCAACTAATTGTATTATGAACTGGCCCTGGAATATGCATTCATTTGGGTTTTCTATATACATAGGTAAATAATGCCACAGCGCGTGTGATGACAAATAAAAAGACCGTCAACCCTTACACAAATGGTAAGTAGACCCTGGCTTATTACAGAGTGTCCACTCCACTTCTGAATTGATTTAGCAATTTAACAGAAAAAACTGTTGTTGCAAGAAGCTCCACAGTGGTCACTGGCTTCTTGTTGCTCAGTTGCTACAGGGAAGCAGTGACCTGAAAGAATAAGCTCATTCGTCAGGACAAGGGCACATTTTATTTTCAGGTTAAGTTGACCCAGAGTGACCCCAGTTTCTGAAGAATCGCTCCAACTTGGGGCTGACATACAGAAGTGAGTGAGGTAGGTTCTTTCATCCACTTGTCACTCTGGTAAATTGAAAAGACCTGGTGATGTAATAGTTCAGCGCTTGGCTGCTAAGCTGAAGTTTGGTGGTCTCAACCCACCAATGACTTCACAGGATGCAAGACCAGGCTCTGCTCCTGTAAAGACAGCAGTCTGGGAAACATTATGGGACAGTTCTACTTTCTGTAGGGTCACTCAGTCAGTGTGAGTTGGGATTGACTCATGCCGCCCAGTTACAACAAAGGTAGATTGAGCAAGGGGGCAGCACAGTATAGAAGTTTCCTGTTTCTTACCTTCCCACTTCCTCTTTCTTGATCACCAACTCTGCCTGGAAGTGGGATCATTCTGAGGTTGACTCTTGCTTTGTGTATGCTCGGAAACCATGATGTTTTTGCGCGGTGTGAATGTGCTTCCAGACCCAGTTCCTTGAGAAGGACAGAATGCGAGAATACTCTCTGGGTCACACAGCGAAGTTGCCTCAGTGGCTTAGCGGTAAAATGTTTGTGAACCCCATCACTCTGAGAGATAAAGGGTTCTAGTCGTGGTAACCCTATGGGGTTGCTGCTTCCATGAGTGTCTATTGTGAATCCAGGAAAAATGAAATCTTTGACAGCTTTGTTTAATCTTTTCTTCATGTATCATGATGGCATTTATTGGCCCAGTGGAGAGGGTTTTTGTTTTCTTTACATTGATGTGATCTGTAATCTTCAGCAGTAAGTATTTTATATCCTCTTCACTTCCAGCAAGCAAAAATTCTATCATCTGTCTGTTGAAGTCCTCCTTCATTCCTCATGCCACGTTCTTCTTTGTATAATCCAGCTTCTTGTATTATTTGCTTCGTGTATAGGTTGGATGAGCATGGTGAAAGGATGCAACCCTGGAGCACACCTTTCCTAATTTTAAACTTTGCTGTGTCCCTCTGTTCTTTCTCCTGGTTCTGCTGCTGCTGTTCCTCTCTTACTCCTCCAGAGCCACAGCTTTCTGTCCCTGGGTCGAGGACGTTCAACGTGCAGGGATCTCGGGGTCCAAAGAATGCACTGCACTCCTGGCTCTTTTTTCTTGATAGTTAAGATTCCCCCTTCCTCCTTCTGAGATGACTCATTTAAAACCCATGTTAGAGTTCCAAGTGTTTACAATCACCATGAATTCTGTTAGCAACCACAGCTGAGCCGTATCAATCTCATCAGTATCTTCTCTCACCTTTTACTTCCAGACCCATCAGGGCAAAAACATTGTTTGATGGGAGTTACAGAGAGTGTGAGTGGAAGAAGCAATTCATTGCACTGCATGCACCATCCTCGGACTGACCTGTCGCCAAGCGAAGCCTTCTCACTTTGGTCAAAATAATAACTCTGTAACTTGTTAGAGTTTACATGAGAACACACCAACTTGACTCCTGGGCCTTTTCTTTAGTAACAAAGTAACAATAATGTATATGTGTGTGTGTGTGTGTGTGTGTGTGTGTGTGTGTGCATGCATGCTTGTCCATCATATACCTTCTCCTGTCACTTGTAAACACAACACTGAGATAACACCAGGAATGTTTTTTCTTGGTCTTCTTATGTGTGGTACCTGTGCTTGCATGTAGGCAGGCATTCAGGATAACACAAATGGTGTTATCTGGGTGAGACAATGAAGCAATAGAAGACAAATAGTATCCGCTAAGCTAGATGCTTAGATGTCCTGGTGGGGCATTACAGGATAAGCAACTGTTACTAAGTAAAAACAGGATTCTTTTAGATCCTAATCAAGAGCGTACAACCTAAGAGAGGATAAGTCAGGATCAATAAATAAAGTCCTGTTGAAATGGAAAACTTGAGTGATGAGTAAAATTGACTTCATTCTCACAAACCATCATATCTATGTTGGTGGTGGTGGTAAATGATGTTGAGTTGGTTCCCACTCATGGTTACCCTGTATAGGGTTTCCAAGGAGTGGCTGGTGAGTTTGGACTGCTGACCTTGTGGTTAGCAGTCCAGTGCTTATCTGACAACGCTACACCAGGATTGTCATATGTGTGCTACATTCAAATGATAAGTTACGTGAGTCGTCTAATTTGTTTTTAAGTTTTTATTGCGAATTGAGTGAAAGTTTTACAGAGCAGATTATCCGTTTTACATCCAACAAATCGGGCACTTTGTTTCACCTCAGTGATTTCAGTCCCTTCCATGTAACATCACTTACCATGTAACATCACTTCCTCCCTGTGGGTCCTGTCTCTAGTCCACCCTCCTTCCCAGCCCTTCTCAATTTGGTGCTTAGGTAGATGTTGCCCTTTTGATTTTGAGTGACTGATCATTCCAGAGTAAGCAGACCTTACTAGTGTTGTTGTCCCCCTCCTATAATCCTATCTACTGCTTGACTGAAATTTGAGCCGTGAGTATCAATTCCTTTCTAACCCTGAAGGGTAATCAAGCATCCTAGTCTCAGGTTCCTCCAGTGACTTTGTGGCCAAAAAGCCCAGTCTTTTATTCTCAAATAATTTTTTAAAACATTAATCAAGCCCTTTATTTATAGATAGCTCAAAGTCATACTTATTGACAGTCTCTGAACAAACAACACAAATACAAAAATAAAGGAGTCTGTAAATAAAGATTTTTGAAAGATTAAAAACTGATATTCTAACTGCTGATGAACATTAATTATTAGACAGTAAACAAGGGAAAAGAACTGTTCTTTTTTTCTTCACAAAATATGCAAATTATTCTTATTCAACCACATTCACACACAAACGGGGATCCATTTTATACAACCACTTGATCATTCCGGCATTCTCATGTCTCATGCCCACTGAAACATTGCTGAGGATCTTTGGGATAAGATAGGTCAAAACAAAACAAAACAAAACTTCCCTTGAAACTTCTAAGTGATTGAGATAGATGCTTCTTGACTAAGATTTTGGAGTAGTCCATGTGGGGTTTACATGAACTCTACCTAAAGAATTCAGTCTTTGTCCTTAGTTTCTGAATTTAACTTTGTCCTGTTTCTGAATTTAAGTTTCTGAAAGATAACTTCTAAAACCTTGGAATTTCCAAAGTTTTAGACGTTATCTTCTATTATGCCACAAGAGTCTTTTCCCCATTTCCTTTTGCCAGCCCAGTCCCAACAGATTGGAAATCATTCAGTGGTGATTCTACCTTCCCTTCCCCTGCCCCATCTGGAACTAGGCTCCTCTTGAAAGCTTGTAAGCCAGTCACTTATTGCCTTTATAGCCCCCCCCCCCATTTTGAGTAGCTAATGTCTAAGTTGCCTATCCCTGTCAACCCTGTGTACTGAGGGGGTGGGAGTGATCCTCGCTATAAAGATTTGTTCTCTTTTTTGAGCTACTACATCCATAAGTATAGGTTGTTGTTGTTGTGAAGTGCCAACGTATAGGTAAAGTTCATCAAATTGTAGCAGGTTACTCTCCCCCCTTCCTTCTTTCTTCTTCTAGTTGAGTTCTGATCATCCAGCCATCCAAGCCAGGTCAACTGGGTACCATCTGCAAGTATGGGTGTTCTTCTGCATCTCCCCTCACTTCATAGCAGCTGGATGCTTCACTGTCTGCTCTAGTCCTCTGTGGCCATGTCACTGCCTCTGGGCCCAGGAGTCCTCCGGTCTTGCCATATTACTGGCCATCCAGGTCTCCACCCAGGTTCACAGGGATCAATTGAATGTGGTCAGGCTTAGCTCACAACTTCATTGCTGTGTTTTCCTCCTCTTCCCCTTATCTGTGACCAATGTGGTCACCAGCCAGACCACACACCTGCTCATGTATTCCCCTTGAATCTTATTCTTAGAAGGGGGTTTGCTCTGAGGGGTCCCAACCACTTGCCTTGATGGCTCCCCGGCAAACAGCTTACTTGTTCTTGTAGTAATCAATGAGACTGCTGTTACTATTTCAGATTTTTCCTGCCAGTCTTTCTTTCACAAAATATCTTCTGTTCTTCTAGCTGCTCCAGGTTAGTCTACTTGTCCTTTCCAGTGGAAATTTCCTACCTCAGTCGGTTCTGGATGGGGTTCTGGATCCCACCTATGGTCTTGTGCAATGTAGAGGCTCCACAGGAATCCTCTTTCACTGGGAAACTTCTAACCCCTTCTTTAAGGTATTCCAATCAGTTATAGGCTGAAGACAGATGTACAAGCTTTCTGTAGTGATAATTCTGGCTATTCCTTTCTTCACCCCACCCCCTCCCCCAAGTATCTATTTTACAATGGTAGGCAAGGGAAACCAAGATTCAAAAGACAGCCAAGCATCTTAACATTATTCCCCTCGTTTTTACCCCTTCAAACCATGCCTCAATTCCTGTGTCCCAGAGCCCTGTTGTTCCAAGATTAGGCATACATCATCATTTATCTCTGTCCCACTTATCCCATGTGAACCTGCCTAACTGTTCACCCATCAGCCTTGTTCTTCCACTCCCCTCCCCCTTCTTGTGTATCACCTCCCCTGCCCCCAAGCTATCCTGTGTCTATTCCATACCCTGTGCTCTATCTTACCCTCCTTCTCTCCCCTCCTCTCATCATATATATATAATATTTCTCTCATTTAGGGTGGGTTCTTTTTCTTAGTCTTTTACAATAATGGTCCTATGCAGTATTCCTCCTTTTGTAACTGACTAATTTCACTCAGCATAATGTCCTCAATTAAGGTTCATCCATGTTATGCGGTGGCTTGCAGCTTCCTTGTTATTCTTCAAGGTAGCATAGTATTCCATTGTGTGTATATACCACAGTTTGTTTATCCATTCT